GGGGGGGGGGGGGGGGTCCTGTCTGGACTACCCCTCAAGGCTGACATCAGTCTTGCAAGTCTGAAAGTGCATTTCTTCCCCGTCCCCTTTACAGCCCAAGAAACTAGGGAGGGTCCCTTCGGAGATGTTTGCCAGGCCCACGTTGCTTTTGTGGGCTAAGCTGCCTCTTATCTGACTGTTGTCTAGCCTGCCGCTCTTCCTCTGTTTCCCAAGGTCATTCCCACAGACCATTACAGGTGGGCATCCCTGCATTTAGAACAGTAGCATGTCCAGGAAATCAGGGGAAGGCAATTCTTCTCCTTGACATACTGGCTTTCTATTGAGGGTTTCCTTAACAAATAAGGGAGTATTGCATTGTGCAATTTTTCCCTTGACAAAGGCAGGGTCCAGACATCTGGGCTGTTTTCGATGAGAAAGCCGTTTCAGGCAACCCGCCTTGGGTGTCATGAAAGACACGCCTTGGGAGGGGGGAAAGGGATGAGAAACTGGCCTTGGGTACAGGCACGTGGGAAAAAGGTTTTGGGGCAGCCCCAGCTAGGAGAAAAATGAAATGAACCCAAAGATCTTAAGCACCTGGAGGTGCAAATCGTGTCCACTTTAAAACAACCCCTCCCAACTGTTTCTGGGCTTCATTCATGAAAAGAGATAAAGGGGTGGGTGGGTGTAAATCAGACTGGCAAATTTCAAGTAGTTGGGGAGAATTTAGCCAAAGAATTTAGCCCGTTAAAACCATGCAAAGTTATCCCAAACAACCCCCACCCCCAGGGTTTCTCTGCTCCCACACTTTTAGGGCTGATCACATCCAAGGAGCGCAGAATGATTCCCCTGCAGGCCAACGGAGTGAGTCATGCAGAGAAGCAGCGGATGACCTCTTTGTTGGGCACAGACTCATGCAGAGTGGCACTGGGCAACCCCCTTCCAAAAAAAAAAAAAGGATGTGCAGATCCCCAATGACCCAAACTGGTCAAGTTTGGCTTTTAGTGGAAGGTTCGATTGCCTCTTTCCAATCCCAAAGCAACTGATGGCAGCTCTTGAAACAAAACCGAGCGAGGGAAGGGTTTGTTCACGTATCGATTCATTTATCCGAGGGGCAGATGGAGAGCAAAGACGCTTCTGTTGATCCTCTTAGGGGCCCTGCCAATTTCACACTGAAGGCTGGGGCCTTCAATCAATGCGAGAGGGAGGATGTGGTGTGAGAATACACCCACGGGCAGCAATGGATGAGGGCAGGAGGGCAAGGGGAAGCAACCAGGGGGGACCCCTTGCAACCCACAGGCCCCACTTTCAGCACAAAGCTCACACTGAAAGAAAGAAAACATTAGTCAGAATGTCCCAAAGGATGCAACGTTAAGATGAGTTAAGCTCTACAAAACTTGGACTCCCCAGAGTGAAGAAGTGTCTGAGAAGACGGGAGTGAAGGGAAATCCAGGTTAGAAACATGGATTAGGGGTGGGGAGGTGCACAGGGAGGGGTTTCTCATTTCACAATGTGGCCTGTGGGAAGCAGAGGGTGTGCATATCCTGAGGGTGGGAGCGATCCAAGCAACGCAATGCCTGGGATGCTCAAGAGCTTGAGGGTCTTGGAGAACCCCGGAGGGCAGTTAAAACACAACCCACGTGGCGGAGTCTGTGTGTTGCCTCTCTGTTGCGTGGGGTCCAACTGTTCTGCCCCAGGAACCAAAATGTCTCGGGCCAGTCCCACCTAATGTGGGTCACCAATGATCCACCCACTTCTGCTACCTCTGGACAATATCGCTGATTTCTTTGACCGAACTGAGCAACTTGCTAAAATCCGGGGTGGTGGCCGGACCTCCGCCAGCTGTGGCAGGGCAGATCTGAAGCTCCCGGAGACTGTTCTCCAGTTTGTTGATGGCCTCTCGGAAGGCAAACTTATTCCGCATCTGCTGGATCGAGTCCACGTAGCTCACGCAGAAGGTGTACAGGTTCTTGCCCGCTTCCAGGACGGCGCTGTGGCTTACCATCTGTTCCGAGTTCCTGCTGATGGCGGTCCGCAGGATCTCGGAGCTCTCCAGGACCGTCCCCTTTGTGACCGTGCCGCTAGCTATCTTCTCTGGAGGCTGGCGGGTCTTCCTAAGGGAGACCCGGGTGGAAATGAGGGGGATGAAGGCTGTGGAGGCGGGTTGGTCTGCAGCCAGGACTGACGGGACGGTGGGGGGAGACGGAGAAGGGGAACCTGCCATCAAGAGCAGCTTGGTGGACGAGGGAGACTTTGGTACAGAGGTCATCAATGACTTTTTGCCCCCCTCCACCGACACGCTGGGCTTGGGAGTCTCAGTGCTCACGGGCTCGGCAGCCACAACCGCCTGTTTGCTCTTTGCCAGCGACCCTTCTGGCCCTTCGTGGCTGGGCCCAAGGCCCCCCTTGCTGTTTTTGCCCAAGGATGAGTTCGAGACCGGAGGAGGTGGGGCGGGTTTAAGCTTCGAGAGTTTCCCTTTCTCCTTCTCTGGGGCCTGCTTCATCTTTCGCAGCCGGGATTCCTCCCCCAGAGCTTTGCCACCAAAGATGCCCAGGGCGGCTTTGCCCGTGGTGGCCTGCTCTGTGGATGGCCCCCCTCCGGCGGAAGGGAGCAGAGGCTGCCTCCGGCTGAGTTTTGGGGTGAGGGTGGGCGGACTGGAGCCTGGGCTGGGCTCGGCCTCCTTGGATGCCTCCTCCAGGGTCTCCTCATTCTTCTTCAGCAGCCGGGGAGCTGAGGGTACGGTTGCCCTGTTGACCAGGTCAGCCTTCGCCTCGCTGGTTCGCTTCCGAGGCAGGGCGGGCTTCTCGCTCTTGTGGCCCCCGAAGGTCGAGGAGTCAAACTGGCGCCCTGTGGACTGCAGGTTCCGAGGGAGGGTCACCGACTTCCACTCAGTGTCCCTGCCCCCGTGGGGCATACAAGAGGCAGAGCAGGAGCGCAAGAAACGCTTGCTGGAGATCAAGCCGCCCTCCTCTTCGCTGGGGCCTGGGCGACTGTTGGCTGAGGAACCCGATTTCTTCCAGAGATTCGGGGACAACAAGGCCGAGTTCCCAGCTGTGGTCCCGTTGGCGACTCCGGCCGCCTCGTTGCTGGGGTTCTGGAACCTGGAACGGTCCTCGGGGTCAGCAGGGTGTGGGATCGCGACCCCGTTGCTGCCATCCTTGGTCTCGTCTTCCCCTGCTCCCTTGTGGTCCAGGTGGCCCTCCGTTTCTCGGAAGGAGCTGCTGCGCTTTGGAGGCGTGGGGGCTGTTTTCTTCTTCTTCTTGATCAGAGCGCTAAAGAGATTGGTCTTCTTGTCTTTCGGGAGCAAACGGTCATCTTCGTTTAAACTCCCATCCGCAGCGGTCCTTTCCTTCCGCAGCAGTAAAGGGGACACGGCCGGCTCATGCTCGGCAGATTCTGCAAAATAAGAACAGACAGGCTTGGTTGACCCAACCCCCTAAGCTGTAAATGCAAACATTACCAGGGCCTGCATGATATGACTGCCTGATGTCAGAATTATGGTCCAAGTCCACCTCCAGCCACGGAAGCTCCTGTGGTGACTCTGGGCCAACCACGTTCTCCCAGCCCCACTTACCCTACAGAGTTGCTGTTGGGCAAGAAAAATTGGAGGAGAGGGCACCACATACTCCATCTTAAATTCAATCAATCAACCTAAAGACCTAATGGACCAACCCATAAACTAGATTCAGGTTCCCACCCTTACGACAGTACCCCATTATGGTAAAGAGCGCATTAGGGGTGTCTGATGCTCCTTTTGCTGAAAGAAGAGCTCAACTGACCACTTTCTCCTGGGCCTTTCATGGACACCACCTCTAAGCTCTCGACGTCTTTGCACTCAGCCATCTTTCGAGATGTCCTAGTTTTCGTTGGCAGCTCTGGAGCTTGCAAGAATGGGTTGACCACGCTCTTCAGCATTTTCTTTCCCAGCTCTTTTTCCACTTCTGGAAAGGAAGAGATGAAAAGAAAACTTAGAGTAGATTTAAGAACGGGACATGGCATTTTAAAATTCAGTCTCTTAAAAATGACCTCCGTTTCAGTGACGGACCATAATGATCAAGTCAGTTATGCCACAAAACTTTGAATTTTTTTTTCTTCACTCTTTCCCATCCCCTTCCTAACCAGTGTGAAAAAATCCTCTTCAGAAGTGACAGTCTTAAATCAGAAGCTGAGTTTGCCCAACTCAAGCCTTTAGCTCAGCTGCTGAACGAATCAAACCCTAATCCAACTTTCTGGGCTCAGGCCACCTGGCAGAGCAGAAAAAATCCTAAACAAACTCAACAGGTATCAAGTTTATCATGCTGTGGAAATGCAGCTGTTTGGCTTTTAACTGATTTGGTTAACAAGCCTGTCACATCCACACAGCTGGAAGAGTTCTCACGCTACAGCAGAAGAAAGAATCTGAGTTAAAGCGTGACAGAGAGAGAGAGAGAGAGAGAGAGATGACAGAAAAATAGATAGATGATAGATAGAGATAGATGATAGATGATAGATGATGATGATAGATGAAAGAAAGGAAAAGAAAAGAAAAGAAAAGAAAAGAAAAGAA